TTGTTTACGCACGCTTGACCTTTGCATATATAACACTTTAACGACATACCAGGAAATATTTTCTAATAAAGCTACATGGAACGTGCATGACATAAAATTACGAAACTACAATAAAATTTTGATAGCCTTCATATTAAAGGTATGCGAGCGACATGCACACACTGCTGACGTTAATACCACAGTAAAAAAAATTAGAAAATTCCTCACATTCTTGTTACGAAACAAAGTGTAATGTAAGAGATTGAATATTTTCACAGTTCTTCACAATCCTCACATTACTTTTACTATTATGCAAGTTCTACAAATCTTTTTGTATGAAAATCACCATTTCAAAAATGAAACATAATTAATCGAAATATCCCAATACAATACCTAACTTTAATTTTTACGTGTTATTTCACACATTTCTCAAAACAAGATTACAGATAACAGTCGCTATATTGAAAAGATTAGTGAAATAATCGACTGAAAATTGTTCATATACCACATTAACTATTATTTAATGTGCCGTTTTGGACATTCGCCCGAAACAAGACGATAGATAACAAGCTGTTACTGAAATGGACCTGCTTTTCCGATTCAATCAAATCGAGTTAGAAACACAGTATCGATATTTGAACTCGCTTTCTGGGTTATTTTATAATAATCAGGTAACAATTTTCATGTTGTTATTTCAAAGTCATACTTTGCAGTGGAAATCGTAAAAGTAAAAATCCAAACCACTTCTGCAATACCTTATGACACCAGTCGTGCACTATTATCTCTGAACGGGTTTGTCATTTCAAATAACTTCGTAATGTACAGTAAATGTGTAAAATATCTCGCAATATATTAGCGGTAATCGGACGTTTGAAATGAACATTGTGTAGTTGTGTAACACATCATGTATCTGCTCAAAAAAAAACATGATAATAAATTAAATTGGCATCATATAACAACTTGGTCGCAGTGTGCGAATAATATTTCGTAAAGTTCGCGATGTGTACCTGAGATGAAAATTGAACTTTGTATTTCTAGATCGTGCTCTTTCACAAAATGTCGTATAAAATCTCTTCGTGTCGCATAAAACATTATGCAGAGTGCCAAGAAGTACATCAAATATTTAATTATTACTTTTGGATCACTTTAGAGAATTGTAATATTTGTTTATTAAAATTATCGATATAAAGATTTAAGACTTCGTTTAGTTATAGATAGACATCTATATCTGGAATTAGAATCTTTTTGTTTGTTTCAAAATATATTGGAAGTGCAACAGAATTCTCTTTTCCGTTTAAACCATACACCACAACTGAATTTATTCCACGCATATTTGATAGGATAATGTGGTCATATATACGTTCGTGCCTAAAACAAGCGGATTTTTTCTTGCAAAGATTAATCCGGAAGTTAAATTTAGGATTTCATCACTTGTGAGCGGTAAATATTTTTCAATGTTTTCTGGTTGTTCGCAAATGAGCAATACTCAGTGGTGCTTTGCAAATAATTTACTGGTGGATGATTTAAAAAATCTTTATCAGAAACTGCATTGATCGTCGCAAGTCGGAATACCACACAAAATTACGACTGTGCTGTACGAACGTTCGCGTGTGGAGTTTCATATTTCTTTCAATTTTATTGATTTTTTTTTGCCGAGTCATCCTCCAAAATTTTTGAATGTTTGCAGATGAAAGTTGCTTGTAATACTTTTCAGAAACACTTTCATATTTACTTTGACTTTTGTGTTCATATATTTGAGCTATGCTCCCTTGTTTTGAAATTGTCAATTTCTACTATTTGTATTTAGGGGCGAACTCTACTGACTTATTCACGGTCCCTTGGTGTAAATTATCAAATGTTAGATTGGTGAACTGTACGAAATTTCAAGTATATTTATGAAAACAGCGATTTATACGCCTGATTTTTAATCCGAAGGTTTGGACCGCATAATATAAACAATGCAAAAAATATTCTTTTTTGTGCGTGCGACCGAATCCAAAATTTGATGTTGAAAAATGTGGAAAAACTTGTTATTAAGCCAATTAATTACAAGAAATTTTAATCTAAAGACAACTGTAAACAATGTTATTCCAAAAATATCACTGAATTTTTAATTTATGGGATCAATATTTTTTTTGCCTTAACACTACAAATGATCAAAGGACATTCAATCATAGCATGATATTGCCTATTGCATTTGAATTATAAGTAAAAAAAAATTTTTGCAATTTTTTACATCCAGAATACCCAAAATGATGACGTTTCTCATATAAATCACATGCAAAACTCTTCGGCATATCGATTGACTTAGAAACTTAACACTGCAAATAACCAATTAGAAGGAGTTCAATCACAGTGCAGTATTACATTTAAACTACAAAAAAAAATACTCATTTTTATCGTCAATAGAATCAAACACCAAGCCGGCTATCGTTTATTAAGCAAAATCTTTTTAGCGTCAGATTTCATATTTAATAAGTATACGATTACACGAACAGAAATCCCCTCACCCACCTATTTCTTATATTAAATGTACTTTAACCGCATGTAGCTAAAGTTGAATACATAAATGTTTACAATGCAGTGGAAACACTAAATTTGCTTAATATGTATCCGCGTTCATATCTCAAAACTATGTCATCTATGTCGCAGGATAATTTCACCTGTTTACGCGAGTTATAAGGTGTCAATATAATGAAATTTTATTCCGAAATAACGGTTGCAATGTGAACTTTCTACCGGATTCTATGAAACTTGATATAGGATTATAAATGCCGCCTATTAGCGCGACAGACATACATTCATAAATGCCCTTCGGGCCATCCGGCTACTTTGATCGCGATAACAAAAGTTTATCGATTTACTTGACACTGAACTGCAATTTTTTTCCACTATTCTCAATATAATTCAACTCACTATACGCCTTAGATTAGAAATGCCCATGCAACAAGGCAAAAGACCTCTGCACTACACACAAGGTACGTTTATAAAGCAAGTCTATTCACACTTTAGATGTCAATTAATATAAAAATATGTCACTTATGACGTCATTTTTATGACGCCACCTTTACTGGGATACAATCATAAAAGTATCACATAACAATAGTTTGATTAGGTCCACCCAATCTCGCTTTAAAACAGTATCAATTCGTCACAAACTTATGACGTCCAAGTTTGTAATATGACGTCACGTTTCACTTCGATGACCTCTTCACGTGAACAACCATATATGTTACATATGACGGCATATTTGATACTACACGTGGAATGTCTACGTGACATCGGGACATTTGTGCCATGACACGGAGATTTCATTTGCCTAAAAATTAAATTTATCACCACAAATAGGAAAAGATAAGAATCTGCTATACTGTGTCACTTAAAGAACATACGAAAGTGTTCAAATCAGCGCTTTTAATGAAAAGATCGATTTAAGCCTAAATATATACAAATACCGGTATAATAAAAACAAATTAAATATAATCATAAAAATATTTTGTAATCACCGAAAAATACAGAAAATTATTAATAGAAATTACCTACAAAAACGCGGCTAGCCATTGTAACAATTGATTATTTGTTTTTATAGCTTTGTTTTTTTACTAGTCCAATACCAATGTAGGAAAATAGCTGCAAGTAGTTTCGAAATGTCGCATCGGAAACTTTATAATTCAAAATCCTTATCACCAATATTGATACCGATATGTAACGCACCTCACTCTATCAGCAGCTATAAGAATTTCTACCCACGGCTGCATCGACGAAATTTTTATATACTAATTCCTGATCTTTCTATATATTCGTAAAGTCCCAATTCAGTTCCGCGCCAAATTCATTAAAGTTAAATATTATAATAATTAAGCCATTGTAATGATTCAACCACTACTTGTCACTAGACATAGTAAGTTAAGTTGAACTTGGGAACTTCTTTAAAGTTCAATTAAACCTATTGATAGTCTAAAGAAAAATGAGCGGAATTTAACAACCTATAATCCGGAAGGTCATCTCTATGGTCAAATTTGTACTTTTATCAAAACTAACAAGATTTTTGTCACAAGATATGGGATACGCCCAATTTGCAGTCCTAAAAATATTGTCAGAAGGCATCGCCGGTTTGCGAAAATATTCCCTTGAATAACTGAGTCCCAGTTCAAACTACATATATCTATATCGGTTTAGAATTGATCGAATTGGTTTCGGCCTAAAAAAATTCTAATCGGTTTTGCTCCGATATTGTCGATTCGAAATACTGTTTCAGCCGACATACATTAGCACTTCGAACTAACTTGCTAGTATTATTTTGGGCGAATTGAACAAATTGCCTGAAGTCTTCTCATTTTTGGTCGATACTCGTTTGCTCTACAGTAGCCAACAGTGACTAACTCTACTATTACACTTGAATCTTGATAAACCAGTTGTTTGCCTCTTATTACGAATCAAAAACTTGTTTATTTGTCATCGTGGTTTGTGTAAGAGAAAGTGATAAACACTCACTCAAAGGTTAAATCTTATTTTTTATTCAATTATTAGGTTTATTTAAGTTTATAAACTATACTTCCACGAATTAAAGTTAACAGTGATTCCGAATTTTAGAATGTAACTATACCGTAGTACTCTTGCATGACAGTTCAATGCAAGGTATCCAAAGCGACAGCGAATTATAATTTCGACATAGTCATTCATAGTTTATGTTGTTCCTCTTTGCTCTACATCAAATTTGGTTGACGAACCGGTTCAAGTCTTCTTGTACCAAACAAAATCTTTCCATACGTATAAGTGACCGTCTGTATATTGTGCTTAGAGCGAAGGTGTAATACACTTTATAAACTTTTTTGTTGTTTTTATTTTCGCAAATAACAAAACAGACAAAAGCTTTCGATACGCGTAAATTATTGCTTGTATAGAGCCTTCTTTAATGCGAAGATTTATTTTATGCTTTGAAAGTTTCCAGTTATAGGTTACTGCTTGTATTAAGGGCTATTTGGAGTAACTTTACAAATTAAAATAGTAAAAACACTCACCTGGGGCTCTTGCATAACTGATGACTTTTTCTCGTTTTGTTTCGTCTTCTTCGTATTCTTCGTCTTCAATTTCTAATTCCAATTCGTCCAGTCTCCTTTTCTGTTTTAGTATTCTACGAATTGGGGGGGAGTCGAGAGAAATCTTTGGAACCGTGATGTTTGGGGGCGCTTTCAATTTTAACTGTTGTAGAATGTTCCTTTTGACTGAATCGACCCAAAGCGCACGGGCCTCTTCTCGGTGAGCGCAGGATTTTCCGCCGTGGCAAGGCCTCTTTCCTTCGGCAGTATAGTCCGATATTTCCTGGTCGTCATAAGGGACCTCGTACGCTGCTTTCACAGGCGTATCCTGCATATTACTGTAGTCGTAATATTCAGTGTATTGATTTCCATAATAATAGTATTCTTGCTCTTTTGCATTCCGTTCGTTTTGCATCCCTTCAGTAATGGGGTCTACGCTTTCATCATACGTTTTTGCACGACTGTTGATGCCTTCCTGAGTTTTGGTCCAAAAATAAGAAGCATCTTTTTTAATAGCACCAGGGGGGATGGGATAGGAAGACTCTTGTTCTGCGTCTGGATGCTCTGATAACTGCGCTTTGTAAACTTGCTGAGCTTGTGTGCAAGCAAATAATAATGAAAATAATATAATACTAGTACATGATAGTCTTGGAAACCGGATGCGTCTCTTTGCAACACAATGACAACGACACGAATCAACGTTAGACAAATCTCCCGCCATTGCAAAGTCAATTATTCCTTTAATTAAGTTTCGCTTCTGAGGTTTTTTTTTTCAGAAATTAAGTCCTCTGACGTCTTAAACCTCGGCTTGCAGCGGTCTTCAATTGTATATTTCAAGTAGCAATAATTATGGTATACTCACGCCGAGCAATTACGACTATTGGGTAATCAGATACCAACTTGTATCTATATATATATAAAAAGAAAAAAACATTCGCACTTTTCTCAAAAATTACCAATCGAACTGGAAACATTTTTTTTACTTTCGCTAATATTTGAAAGCTAAGTCATATTTCGTGTCGTTTCAAAATGACGAATGAAACACGGGCTCCGTTTCTCACGAATCTTGCACACTTGCGTTACTTCTCCTTATGGTGAGGCAACGTTTGCAAAACCCGAAAAAAAATCGACACAGTGAAAAAATAAACTCTCAAATTTTTCGCGCCGGTTGAAAACTCATTTGCGTTAACAATATAAATCCGTTACTTTGGGAGTTTAGTTACGCTGACAAGTTTACAGATTAAGAAAAAGATATCTTCTATTAATTTTAGATCATAATGGATCCATTATTTTACCACCTTCGTGACTTATATACGGGAGCAATCTCACGAGTGAAAACCTTTAGTGTGGTAAAGTGATTGAAACGTAAAGCTTGTGGAGAAAGGATCATTATTCGATGATATTTATTAGGTTGGGTATAAAACCATACATGATATTCAATACCAGGTTGGGGTCTGAACCGCCCGTTTCCAGATGTAAAAAAGCTTTTTGTGGTATCATACATTGCAATTTTTCGTTGTTGATTGCCTTGATAATACCAATAAAAAAACTTCGGATATCGAGTAAGAACGATATTATCATTCGTTGTTCCTGTTTTAACGTGGTGTATGAACGTTTTATTTGTAAATATTAACAATACAAAATAATCAAACGATAAGATTAGCATACTAAGTTAAATTTATCTGACTAGTGACTGAATATTCGCGCAAAAGGTTTCCCGCCTTTATATATACTAATTCCACTGTTGGCAAATATTTTCAAAATAGGAATTCAGGCAATACGTAATCATGGGAATCCCTTGCATTGTTTTCACACTCGTGATTAATAGTGAAGTAATGTTTTATTGCAAAAAATCCCATTCGAAGGGGGTATTTGTGATCAGCCTTGTTTTTTTGTGTTAAGATAATGATGTCATACCTCATGACGTATTATTTTACCAATTTACTCAGTAAAAGCCCGTGGCAATATACATTGTCATATTATGTCCATTTCTAAATTTACCCAAAAACACATTACAAACAAATTAGTATTTTACAATGTTTGATTGTTTTATGGATGACTGAGCATTCAAAAATAATATCAAAAAATATTATATTTATACATTTTCAACATCACGTTGCGCAGGGCAACTCATTGTTGACGTTTCTGTTGTGATGTCGCCACGCTAATGGCGACATAGTAATTTTTATTTTTAGGATTTCTTATGAATTTGTAAAAACATTAAAAAACAAATTAAATATGTCATCAAATGAATCATTGAGTAAACCGAATTGTGCGATTTTCAACTTAAGAGGATTTTCTCAAATTTGCGTCTTAAAACGGGGAATCCTGGTTAACGCCCTCACTATTTATGAGCTATTTGTAATGTATCAACTGTACGTAAAAAATATAATCGGAAAAACATTTTCAAGAAATTTCAAGTATTGTAAAGTATTTTTGATGCAGAAACCCACCGACACAAAAGAATAGAAGAAGGATAAGTAGTTAGTCTCACAGAAACCAAATAATCAGCGCAAGATTTATAGTATACGTTAGTTTTAATTTCTAAATTTGTTACTTTTTTAACATCATTAATTTACCAATAAACTAAACTGAATACTTTGTGCATCAAATGACGGTGTCTTATCACACCTATCACATTTTCCAGACTAGTTATATTGAGTCATTGATTCAAAATTGGCGACTTTGTTTATTATGTTGTCATGCCAGTGACTGTACAATTTAACGACGTATACAGAGAAAGTCGGGAGAATTTTTTTACAATTATGGCACGCCTTTTAATGACGAAATAAAAGATATTGTTATATAATGATTCGAATGAATATTTTTTACGACTCGTCCAATTAACACTACCAAATCGGATTTGAATATTGGGCACGAAAGAAAATGTTTTAAATTAGCTTGTTCTTTCTTCTGGGTAATGCATTACTGATAAGCGATTACATTTCCAATGTGAAGATAAAAGAACGGAGCTAAATTAATTAGCTACTGTGTACCGCCCACTAGCGAATAGACTATCGAGCGTAATTAAAACCAGATATCTCTCCTTATTAACAAAGTACGTACGTAAGCAAATACGACACGTACGTAAAGACGTAAGACAACAGATAAAAAAAAAAACAGTTTCATAACATTAATACACGTCAATATAAAATTGTAAACAGAGTAACAATACAAAATGTCATACGACCAAACCCAAATATCAGAGTCGTAACCCACGACATTTTTTATTTGAATAAGTACTTACATATTTATTTTATTTTCGAAATAACCTACGGGACAGAACAAACTCGGCGAATTCCCTGACTTTTTCATTATCAATACATAATACATCGTCGACTGAAAGCAGGTAAGACTTAATAAATAACTATTACCCCAATTTGGCCAAATCTGTAAATAATATCTGCCAGTTACACAACCGTGGGTCAGGGACATATTATATTCTTATAAACAAAGTTTAAATCACATCAAATTACTTCAAAATTATAATATTTTTTGTGCGATTGGGGCATCAAACCCCCGAGGTTACATTTCAAGTTCGACCCAAGTTAGGAAGCAACATTGACGGTTTATATTACCCGACTGTGACAGGGGAATAAAATTCGCGGGCGCAATGGCCTAGCGCTTAGAGTAGTGATTTTTAACCATGAATCCGCTGCACCCTAGGCCTAGGATTTTGCCAGTACAATTCAGTGGTACCGCAAGTTTTCATTCATATCAGAAAGTCTATGTTAATATTTAAATAAATACCATTAGGTTTGCCACTATAATTTAAACTTGCTGAATTTTAAATGTCATTTTGTTTCGCCAGTATTGGTTTTGCTTCTATATATAGTTATAGTTCATAAAATTCAAACAATACAACGCAATTAAATTATTGCACAGAAACTCCTATAGTCTCTGGAATGTTTTATGGAGGATCTTATGGAACCACTAGATTAGAGCGTTGGCCGCCGTGGTCGCCCCCTTACACAGGGTGTACCAAATTTGATGGGCGATGTAGAATCGGAAGTATTTTGGTCCTTTCTAAAAATAATAAGTAGTTCTTTACGTATCAGTGGAAGCCTACAGGTGCGTAGCCAAACAATTTTAGGGAGGGGGGGGGGGGGGGTTCTAAAATTTCTAATTGGCCAGTTAGACCGCGTGAAACCGAGTCTTAAGGGTCTAAAAAGCGTTCCAAGCTACAATAAATTGATATGTATGGTACAGAAAGATGATTTTTTCAAAAGGGGAATTTCTGCCTCGCCCCTGGATGCTTATACAATCTTGTACAGAGCGGAATCTTTTGGTGCAAAACAATTTACAGTAATAACATCTATTTTTTGATATTTAATATAAGGTCAAACAGGGTCGGTGAGTCACGGAAGCTTATCACTATCTTCTTTATGCTTATTACCGCGAAGCTAAAATTAATGATCAGATTTTAAACAATATAAACCACGGCTCCTGTCAGAACTTTTTTTTATCTGATGTATATGTTTGAAGTACACGATTTTGTACCTTCCACATTCAAATAACCTCCGTTACAATCGGTAAAAGATTCAAGCTTTACAACTAACACAACCACAGCAATGGAATTTATTATAGTGAGTTAGATATTGATCATCATACAATAAACAGGATGATAGGTTGCGGTTTTAGAAAACATCCTTATTAATATCATTTTCGTTCGCGAAAAAAAATTTACACACGATAAGTTTTCAAAGAATAAAGTAGTTATCAGTGTGTTACGATGCTCGAGTCATTGATTTATCACCGTTCGGCACATCGTGCTAAGCGTTAGGAACCGTACCTCTAATTACCCTGCGTGGGTTCGCAGGTTCGAATCCCATGTTGGGATAGTTATGTGCGACAGGATTGCGCGACTCCTCGTCGTCTTATAGTGTAATTCACGTAACCGCTGGTCGGTTACGGCTTCCACCACTATCAAGCCCGTGCTACTAAACACAAATAATCCAATACCCGACATGGATTGGCAACCCGACTCAGGGTTTAGGGAATTCTACTCACTGGTAGTAGTGAAGAGATTCTTTTTGTTGGACACGAAGTCGGTCGTTTTGTTGTTACTCGTATTTTTCATGTTGTCACCTTTTGAAAAAATCACTTTCCTTATTCACTAATGGACCGATGGCTTTGATATTTTAAGTGGTTAAATATTGTATAGAAGATTATTACTTTTATTTATTTCTAATTTTTTTATGAATCCTATGAGTTCTGATATTTCATCCAAAATTTCGCTATACCTTTATTTGATTTGACGCAACGCTACGCGATTGGACTTCGTGTTCATATATTTGAGCATCGCTCTTTCGTTTTAATCGAATGAACGCCGAGACCTTAGCTGGGTTACCGTATTAGGAATTAACAACGAGAGAGTCATTACATTGCTGCTATCAGGTCCGGTGCCAATCTCTAAAATCGCCATTTTTTACAATAAACACAAACAGTTGCTGTTTAACTTTTTATCTGATATAACAACGTTGAATTACACGTTTCTGCTTTTTGTTTATCGGAAAAGCCCCGAAAAATATTCATAATTGACGCATTAACTTGATGCAATCTCCATGGTGTAACCACAACAAAAGAATCCATTTTAGAGGATTCATGTTAATTCTGAGATAACTATAAGAAGCTGCCAAAAGCGTTTTTCTGTTTTGATTGAAGCGACGACATGGACATACACAAGAAAATAAAAATAAAAAAAAAGGGGAAAAGGTTGCAATAAACGCTGATTGCTGTAGATAAAAAGCAGTTTATATCTAGGCACTTCGGCACGAGATAACATTCCATTAGTCTCGGGGACAGCGTAGTTTTCAAACTTTTTACAAAGTTATTTTTATAAGAACTTGCAAATGTCACTCTTACAGTTCATTGTATTAAAGAAGG